GATGATCTCAGAGGTCCCTTCCAACCCAGCTGATCCTGGGATTCTCTGACCCCACTGGAGGACACGGGGAACAGCCAGACACGACCTCCGAGCCCAGCGATCCCATGGGAGCAGCATTCCCGGGCTGGGCCGGGTTCCCCCCGAGCTCCCAGGGGTTTCCTCACCCAGCAGACGTTGGTGGCCACCCTGGGCTCGGCGCTGAGCCCCTCCATGAGGCACTGCAGCAGCGGGGCCAGGTAGATGTCGTTGATGGCGGCCTCGGGCAGCATCTCGCAGATCCGCCCCACCGTCCAGGCCGTCGTGTCCCTCACCACCACACTGGGGTCCTTCATCAGCTCTATCAACGTGGGCATGGCCTGCAACAGCAGCCAGGAGCAGCCAGGTCAGCACGTGCAAAAGGCAGGGTTTGAATTCCTCCAGCCCACCCAGCTCCCTCCACCTCGTCACCTCCAAACCTTGCTCTGACATCAAACACCCCTCTCCGCTCAGTTCTATCCTCTCTTCTCTCAGAAGGAGGATCAGAGATGCTCTTTGGGAGCAAATCCCCTTATCCATTCAATTCTACCCTCTGTTCTCTCAGAGGGCAGGAGCAGAGACACTCTCTGGGAGCAAACCCCCCTCTCCACTCAGTTCTATCCTCTGTTCTCTCAGAAGTAGGATCAGAGATGCTCTCTGGGAGCAAACCCCCCTCTCTGCTCAGTTCTACCCTCTGTGCCCTCAGAAAGCAGGATCAGAGATGCTGTTTAGGAGCAAACCCCCTCTCTGCTCAGTTCCACCCTCTGTTCTCTCAGAAGGCAGGAGCAGAGCCTGGGATTCTCTCACCTGTTTTGTTTAACGAGCACTTGAGAACCTCCTGCAATTTAACTCCAAGACAAAAATAAAAACCAAACAAACAGGGAAACAATTCCTCCAAAAACCCACGGGTTTTTTACCCCTCCAAACCCCTCCCAGACCTCACCTGTATTACTAAAGGTTTGAGCTGGTTGGGCTCTGGCCCTTCCAGGATGCATCCGAAGGCCATCACGGCCGCGTCCCGGTACCTCCAGTCGGGGTTCTTGATGTGCTCCTTGATGAAGGGCAGCACGTGGGGGACGATGTCGTCCTCGCAGCACGTGGCCAGCAGCATCAGGCACACCCCAGCAGCCTTGCAGGGGTTCCAGTCGTCGTCGTCGTCGTTCTCATCCTGGAAAAAAGCGCCGGGAACGTCCCTGAGCACCCG